CCTACGGCTTGCTGTATCCGAGACCACTACCAAGGAAACTCCTGCCGGTTTTCTTCTACCTGATCACAGCATTTTACCGCACGACGAATGAAGGCAGAAATCATCTGCTGCTCCTTTTCATTTTCACGTTCACCCAACTTCTGCTGGGTGTTTCCTCACTGATTCAAAGCGTCTACGTGGAAAGACTGAGTGTTCAGTTTATCTGCGATGGAAGTAGACCGACTGAGTTTCACCTATTAACGAGAGCCGGCGTGTAGTTTATTCTTGCGCGCTTTTTCATGCTTTTCGTCGCAGATCTGGTTTCTTAAGAGAGCTACATACAAGGCGCATCTGTAATATGGTGTGGACTTGCTTAGTAGACATAGAGCCGGTTTGCTCATTCACATATTTTCAGGTAAACCTAACCAGCGATGTGTGCCTATCAGCTTGATTGAGTATGCCTTATAAATGTTGCTGCAGACCTATTTTTTCCCAGTAGAAACCAGGTTAGAATTAGCTCTGTCCCTGGTTTATTTTACCTGGCCCGTCGGCAATCTACTTTTCCCATTCGCGGAGATTTCCTGGACATCATAGCAACACGAGCAAATGCGCTGATATCCGAAATTTTTAAAAAAATTGTCTTTTCGCTCTTCTCTCATGTTCCAGGCCGTCCTCCGCGTGATGCGTCTGCATATGAACCACTCTGATATGATTCTCGCAGGCACTGCTGTTGTCTACAACTTGACTCGTGGTGAGCAGAGTGCCCAACTGCCGCTCGATTTGCTCAATAGAGCCGTCAATATCACGCTGACTGCCATTGAACAGCATCAAAAGTTGCTTCAACTGCTGAAGAATTGTTTTCTCACTCTGTGCAGCGACACAGTACTGCATCGAGCCGTAAGTCCCGCATGTTTTACTGCAATGGTAAACCCCGTATCTGCCCTAGAGCATACTCTTACGTACCATTTCTCTGTTTACTACTGGAAGGTGGACTGTTGTTGTTATTTTTTCTTTCTGAAAACCACCCCCGGCATCTCTACCCACTTTTTTCCTCTCTGCTCTTTTCAGCAATTCAGTTGCAAGCGATGCTGTGAATTAGTGTTTCAGAGTCTCATCAAGTACGATGATGTGCATATGAAACGCATGGGTGTGGCAATTATTTCCATCCTCGCCGCGGAGGTAAGTATGGCCCTGATTTCTCTTTTTATAACATCAGCATTGTCGCAACTATGAAAATAATTCACCAATAA